ACATACTCATATATTATGTTCAAGCAGTAATTGCCCAGACCCAATTTTTTTTTACAAATTTAACTTTTTCACATAATATACGCTTTCCGATTCTCTAATGATATTCTTAAAACAGCTTTAAACTTTCACTTCAATCGGATCGAAAAGAAAAATAGCCATGAAATGTTTTCCCATCTTTTTGGTGGTGGGTGGTCGATTTAAAAATCAATCTTTCGGTGTTATGTTCTAAAATATGGCTACGTTACTTATTCCAGCCAAGAACCAACATGTGGAAATAAAGTAGAAAGCGTTTTGAGGTATACAAGTATGTGGTAGTTGCTGCAACAGCAGCAGCACGTGGCATTGTCCAAGTGCAATATCCGAGAGCTGGGGCAAATGTTCCTGCGCATGGCTTGAACATAAATAATGTGAAACATTTAGGGGTAAGAGGAGAATGTGAGTGGCAAGCAGCTGATAAAAGTTTGTGCTAATGCGCTTTTCACATCTGTTGATATGGTCGGCCTGGCGCACACACATACATAGAAGCGCACTTACACAAAGTTGGCAGGGTTAAGGCAAAAGGCATTAGCCAACAAGTTCATCTATGGCATAATTACAATCGAACTGCCAACCGAGAACTGGCAGCAGGCTGCAGGCCGGAAGCAACCAACTAGTCAACTGACTAACTGCCTATTCAACCAACTGGCAGGCGGCCTTCACATCGAACACTAAAGGCCCTCATAATTGCCCACGCAAAGCCGCAGAGCTGCTCAAACGCAACGACGACAACAGCAACAGCAACAGCAACAACAACAGCAACTGCAACTGCAACAATACAAAGTGCAATTGGACACACGCTGGCAATTGCAAGTGTCCAAGTTTTCAGTGGGTGTGCCATGCTGTGTGTGCGTGTGTGCGTGTCATGTGTGTGTCCATTGAACAACTGTGCGAGCAATAACAAAAGGCTGGGGACCAAGTGTCCAGCAGTTGGGTTTCATGTGCTCTCCCAGCACATCGTGTAATACTAAGCCACACAATGCCACTGAAGGTCATTAGGTATAGGCCAATTGGCAATTATGTATACATCATAAGCAGTCCGCTCTGTGGACTCTGTGCAAAACATAACTTTATTTAAAGGGAATAGGGATTTTACTTAATCTTTACGCATGCAACAAAATAAAAGTATGATTGTATAATTATTTTAATTATATAGCAGATTTGTTTTCTAATCAACGATTCATTTGACAAAATTCTGATTCGATCTTTAACTACACAAAATATATATATAATTTTCATAAGTCAACTTCAATTCCTTTAAGCTTTAAGTGATGTGCGGCAACTTTTCCTTACTTTAAAGATTTAAGTTTGGACACACAGTTAAAGCAAATTAAACGCATATTCCTAATGCAGCTTTTAGTGAGGTTTCGAGGTTTACTTTGCGCCACTTACGGCAAAACTCATCTATCAACCCTACCCCTTTGTTTTATACGTTCAAGCAACAGAGGCTTAAGTTTTATCTTACCGACGATTACAGCATCCATTTGGCACTTTGGGAAAATAAGAGCAAAGAGTCGTAAGCCTGAAATCGATAAGATGCTTGTTCGGCGTCTGGCTGATAGCTTGACTTGCGGTTGTCTGACTGACCTCGTAGTGATTGTTGGCTGCTTACATTTCCATGTCACGGGGCCGCAGAATGAGCTGAGATATCACACTCAATAGCAGGCGATAACAACAATGGGGCAAGGCACGACCATTTGTCCCTTACTATTGGGCTACTTAGCTTACATTATCAATCAAGCTGACTGACAATCAACTATCAAATAGGGCAGTTCGCTGGCTACTGCGCATTTACCTTCTAGTCGTACTGAAAGTGATACGAGTCTGTTCTGGAACGCAATATCCCATCTAGAGCTGCATACGCGTGTCATTTGTATCTATTTGTTTACTTGGGTATGTATGCGCCTTGAACACGATCCTTTGTTTGCGCTAAGCTCACAAGGCACTTGCAAAAAACAGGGTATAACCACTATACAGACGCACTACGAGTCTAAAGGGTTTTCATATATACCATGGAAAACATTAATCATAAATAATTAAAGTCATTTAAAGAATGGTAAGCGGAGGGTTGTCATAAAGCGTTTCTAGGTTTTAATAATAAGTATGCAATGATTGACGCTTCTGTAAACATCAAATCGGGATTCAAGTCGCCGAGAGGCAAAAATATAAAACATAAATAAGTTATTAAAATATTACCCAAAAATAATACAATTGGCCCATTTGGGTTAATAAATAAACAGTTGCATTTAAATAAATAAATAAACTCAACTCAATGTGGTTTCAGATACATATATCCAAAATGTGTAATGTAATTGCTTAGTGGTCAGGAATATGAAAGGGCATTTCAATTGAGGCATGCATATCCATACTATCTCGCCTTTTTCCGCTTGTAACTTCCCGCTGTGCGGCTTTATATCCAGACGGCGACCCGCATACGCAATCCAAATTTATTTGTCCTTCAAACATTTCCGCACACGAGCTGTCAGACAAATGCTCGACGCTAAACTTAAGCATAAGTTTTGAGTTTTTTTCGCACACACACACAGAAATTGGGGCTTCGTACAGTGACCGTTAAATGTTTACACAAACATGCCATATATTATTTTTGAAGTTAAGTAATGAAGATGTATTGGTGGTCTTTACAGTTGTTGTTGTTGTTGGTGTTGCTTTTTTGAGGGAGCACTTGCGCTTATTTAATGAAAATTGGTTGTAGTTTTTGCACGCACACACTCACCCCCTGCTGGGTACACACAGCCATCGGGAGAATTTGCAATGGCCATACAAAAATTATTATTTCCACTCTGGCGGAAGGCTGCGGGCAATTTTTCTTAAGCCATGGCTCTCATCACAGTCAATTCGCCAGTTGCCACGTTGCTGTTCTTTCAAAAGCAAAAACATGTCAAATGTCGGTAAGGGATGGGGGAGGGCGCTGCGCGGTGGCAGTTTGGGAGTAGACTCTAAAAAGGATAGCGGACAACAGAGCCTTGTACAAAAGTGCTTCATTACTTTGCGCAACAGCTCGCGAGAATATAATGAATGGCAATAAACGTGTTTCACATTTTCTTTTTCGCTGGACCGCTCTGAATTTTCCGGCAGCATTTTTCACTTGCTACCCAACAGTCATCCCGCTTAAAATGTTGTACATTAAATTTCCGCACTCGACACCGGAGAAGGGTAAAGCGAATTCATATATGAATGAAATATGTTTTCGTATGCCTCTCGAGTGCAATACTTTTCGCAAGTGCTGAGTTTTTATTTTATTTTTGTTTTTTTAATGTAAATTAATAAAATCTTCTTACTATGTTTGTTTTTTTGTCAGCTGCTGTCACATGTGGAAAGCTTTTTTATTATCTTGTTATACCTCTGAAGAGGATATTATAATTTTGTCATTAATCCTGTAACTCAAAGAATAAAATATTCCCGCCCTATATAGTACATGTATTCTTAATCAGATCCGATCTTACCACTATACCATATAGCTGCCATGGGAGTAATTGGTCGAAAATATGAGCCAAATCTTATGAATATCGGCAGATTATAATATGCAGCGCACATGGGAATAAGATTCTCGGATCAACAAGTCTTATCAAGATCAAACTGTATAATAAATATAATTCTAATGGAAGAACCGGTCTTAAATTATTTGCAACAATTTTCTGTTTGAAGGATATCTTCTACCTAACGTAAACATATTTCTTTTTAAAAGGTATTTAATATTCGGCGTACCGCAGAGACACGTTATTTCCTTTTAAGGTTTGTTTTTCTTTTTCTTTAATGATATTTTTTTTATTTTGCTGAAGGCGGATGCTCACAGCTGATGCTGCAACAGCGAAGATTGCAAATTAGTTGCCGCGCTGATTTCAAGTTGCTTTTTCTTTGACTTTATTGCAACTGCCAAGTTTAATTGAAGGCCGCTGCAATCAGCTTTCAGCAAGTCGCTGCGCTGCGAGAAGCTGCTGAAAATGCATTTCCGCTGCCACTGTTAACGGATCTTCAAATTAATGTTGCATAAGCTAAGGCGCGGGCAGCTTAAAATGTCGCCAACAGCATTGAAACCATTAAGAGGATTTATTTTGAAATTGATTTGGAATTCATTTTACTCTGTGCACTAAAGATAATTTCAAATTAAAAAAAAAAATAATGGAATTCTATTTGGAACATTGCATCGTTTACAGTACTAAGCTCGACTAACAGTAATACTAACTTTATGAAGACCCAGTAAATTAATATAAATGAATTTTGTATTGGAAGCTTACTTAATCTTGATTAAAATTAGATAATCGCAAATTTCCTTAGAAAATATAACATTTATATATGTTATCAAAGCATATGCGATTTTTTCACAGTATTTATTCCAGAATAGTTAATCTGCAGAACCATTCGAATGTGTTTTTGAAAGAAACATTTTTGTTTCGCTGAGTTTCTTTATAATTATACTCGAAGCATCTGCTTTACCAAGGGTCTCAGAAGTTGCTATTCATCTCATTTGCAAAAAAAGCTGGTCTGATTTACTGTTTTGAACAAGGCTCTTCCCTGGAAAAGTTTTTATTTAATTTGAATATTAGAAAAACAAGATATGACAAATATTGTTGCCATCAGCATGAAAAAATAATACACAATATATTGACAACTGTCAGCATAATACTTATGCCCAACATTTATAAGCAGACATCAATTTTCCGAGTTAAAAATGTATATGAATATTAATGTACTAATGAAAATAAATGCAAGTTGAATATTTTATTGAGCTTATGAATTCCACTTTGATCACTCTAGGCCTGTAAAAGCTTAAATTTTTTCGATTTGTCCACGCTCTTTTTGTGGTTATACGGACGGGCGGCCGGATGGGCGGACGAACGGACGGTAAGCCGAACGTTGGACAAACCCAAAGAACTGATTTCGGTTTGAAAACGATTATGAAAACATTGCGATTAATGGTGATATATCTATAATGAAAAACTTACCGTGTTCAAATTGGTAACCTTATCCAATTCGACCGCTGTGCTGCCGCGATGATGATGCAAATGATGCAGGTGGTGTGTCGTCAACATGTTGTTGCATTCAACGGAACGCACATAAGTCTCGGTGTGTTGGATATTGTGATTTGATATGCCGGGCGCCGGCTAAATTGAACAATCCATCAAGTGCAACACCGGCGGCCGGATACGGATGTGGTAACGAGCTCAGCTTCAGTTGCAGCTACGGCATCGAGGCACAGGTAGTGCAACGGGGTATGGGGCACGGAAGCGATCACACAAATTGCAGCTAGTTGCACTTAACGTCTCATAATTCAAATCCCATAGCATGAATTTTAATCCACCTGTAGGGGACGAACAAAAGAGATTGAAATAAAATTGAGAACTCAAACACGCGACACCTGAATGCACCGACACGCCTCTTTGCTGCCGCAGGTGCCACGGGGGGCGTTATCCGGCACGTCACATTGCGTGCAGTTGATTTTTTGTTCGACAGATTTTTATTTGCAAATTTGCGAATCACGGCGGGAATTTTCGGGCCGTCACTTTTCGCGTACCGGAAGCGACAGTTGCCAACCGCTTTTGTCGCATTTTGGGGGCTGAGTTGGGGCGCGAACACTTTATTTGGCTTTGAGTGGCGAAATTGCCAGTTGCCAGCCTTAACATGACTGCACCGCGACGAGAAGCCAGTTTCAGACTTAACTATGAACTGCGTTGCATTGTGGCCTTGCGGCCTTGTGGCGAGCATAAATAAACAAGCAGTCAGCAGCAAGGGTCGAGGCTCAGTCAGGCTAAATGAAATTAAATTCTGCCCTATAAAAGGTACTTCCCCGCTCTGTTGTCTATATCTAAGTGGTAGCTAACTGGCATCTGTCTGACCTTCCGTTATCCCAGACCCAACGCGCTTGTTTGCATGTAGTACAATAAAAGTACAATAAAAAGACAAGAGAACATACGTATCTAAGGATTGGCGAGGATTGAATACTCTTGTATTGAATATTATTATTCAACTTAAGTAATAAAGTATTAAACTTAAAACAAATTTGAAATAGAAAAAGTTAGCTTCAGTTGCATGATTGCAGTAGTGCAAGCTTCTGATATTAAAAGGATTTGGTTTAACAACACGCAAAGGTCGTATGCTTTTAAATATATAATATAATATACCGTGCGGCCGAAATTGGTTTGCTGGACACCCGTTTTCCGGACGGGTGCCTTTTCAATTATACCAGCTAATTATACTTTTAACTAATTATAGAGAGTGAGTAATATACTTGGGAAAGGGTTCGTGAATTTTTAAATAAAGCAGTTTTTCTTGTATATTTTGGCTAGTTGAATTCCAAACAGAATAAAAATTGTAAATAAAGACTTTTAAATTTTAAATGTTCAAATTGTTAGAAACCTTTTGGGACATATATTTATCTCTAATTAATTTTGTATTATTTATTGCAAGTGCAAGCGTTGTTTTAACTGCATTATAATTGAAACTTTTATTTTTAAACTAAGCTTATCAAAAAATATTAATCACACTAAGATACTGATATAATATATAAGACTTTTATAACCAGACATTTTTTCTTATGACAAATAGCATCCTTTAAAGACCTGAGACATTTCGATATATTAATTTGACGATCTAACATAGATGGTTACGGATATCTTTTGACTTTAGCATAATTAAGATTCATTATAAAATTTATGTCCTACCCGATTATATATCATATTCGTATATATAATTTCTTCGCGTTTAATAACAAAACGAGCATGCCCTTTTAAAATACCACAGCAGCATCCAGATTTGTGGTTAGAAGGCAAATGCAATAGAGTGCTCGGAAATGGCAGTAGTAAACCAATAATTCATGGTAATACCTCATGTTTTGTACCTCATTGTTTGTATTTTCAGAGTTCCTTTCAGAAAGATAGAATTACAAATAGTAAACAGTTGAAGTGGTTGGTTTTTAACTCGTTTGACATCTACGAAAATAGAACTGAGAAGTTATAAAACTTGACCCGATTTAAATAAACTACAATTCATTTACTAATAATGTTAGTATTGTTATTATTGTTATTATTGTTATTATTACTATTTAAAATTCAAATTGTTACACAAACTATTTGTTTGCTGTTTTTTTTTTGTAGTTTGCTTGTCCTCACGATAGCATCCTAAAGCTGATTAACGGATAAACTTTGACTGATAAGAAAGTTGGTTTAGCATCTCATATCCGGGCAGGGGCTTTCAGGTTTAATGTCTGCGCGGTGCGTGCTTCGCATGGAAATGTAAATGGAAATGAAAATGTGCCTCATTAACTCCCATTGCGTTGGAAAATATGCCGCGAAAGGATTAAACGGCGCCTGTAAAGTGCCACGACGGCCATTAAAAGGCTTCGCAATATAATTAAATATTTAAATGTATCGCTCTTAGTACTTATGAAATATTAATGCGAATATTATAAAGCCACCACTCGCTCTTTAATCACCTACAACTGTCTACTATCTGCTGTTTTTTGTTTTAATTTCATTTTATTGTAAAGAGTAGCAGCCATTTAAGTAGCACACTCAAAACAATTTGTTTCGCATACGCAAATTTTCTTATAAAACTTACAACCGCACAGCTTTGTCTGTGACTTGTCAGCGAAGGCAGCCAAAGTCAAGCATAAGCCTAGGGGGCTTTTTCATATGTGAAGTACGCGCACAACAAAGTGCCACAATTGTGCAAAGTACTCGGAAAACCCAGTCACAACAACCAGCTAGAAAAATCCCTTTGCCATGCTAAAGCGTGAGTCTCGGATAAAGTCAGAACCAGGACCTGAATCAAACCAATTTAAGACGCACTTGCCAGAAACTCATTAGCCTTGTTACAAAACAAGTAAGATTACCTAACGAACAAGGTTCACGACTAAAAAATACTGCGTACGCAAAACAGACATGAGTGCTCAGATGTTTTCAGATATATCTAAAACGAACCAATGACAAAATATCTGTATATTATGCAAAATCAGGTACTTACAAGCCAAGCTCCTATGGGCTGACAGATGCCTCGACTAATCATGAAAATTAAAAGTATAATATATAATACTTTTTAGAGTTGTGCAGATTCAGTGTCCTCTACACAACTATATATTGCCCATTGTGTCAACTTTTACAAGTAATGGGTGTATAAAAGAGACACAAGAACAGGTACGACTGTGGCTCCCAATTGGCCTAATTTGAATTAACTATTCATGTTTAAGTGTGTGAATGTAAATGTGAAGGTGCGCACATAGACGCTCACTCGTAAACCCGCACTCAATGGTTCAGCGGCTGCGTTATTTAAATAATTTGAACAAATTTGCGATTAACTCAAACATTTGCCATGTTGAGATTTTATTTTTTATGTCTGAGTTTACAACAACGTACTTATTATCACTTCATAAAAATGGGTTTGTATCTGGGGAAAAAGTTTATTAGGGCCTTTTAACTTGGCAGAACTATATCTCCCAATAACTTGTGTGTATGGGTTGTCTGCAGGGCACCTATGTGGCTAAGAACCGTCAAATAAATATTAGGAGAATTAAAAATGATGCCATTTCTTCAATATAAAATTAATTTTAAAAAATGCAAGCTTAATAAAAACCCTTCTTAACATTCGTTATGTACTAACTAAAATAATTTACACTTAACTTGTTTCAATTTGAAATTAAAGTTGGGGGCTTTGAATATATATTTTAGACATGTAGTTATATACTCTTTTAACATGGATGCCCAATACTTGACGCAAATATTTTTTGGTAGAATGGTTGATCGAAAAAATCTCAATAATGAATTGATTAGAACGATCATTACTTCTTCTTATTTATAAACGAGAATAAAATCAATCGATTATATTACCGGAAACACGATGGGAAAAAAGTCTGCTTGGCTATTATTTTAAATATTACCCTAATTCCTTCATTCATGAACTTTTTCTCTCTAGTTTGCTCACTCTGTTTTAATGACATATCTATTTATTTCGTTTGATAATCAAGCCGATACCAAACGAAACAATTATTTAAAAATACTACAATACTACTTTAACTGACGCTGTAATCTTACTGGGTTGACTTAAACAAGTTGCTCAAATGGAACTTGAGACGCTTTGAAAGCAACGCGTTTAACGTTTTTGCACTGTGTAAGGCTACACGCAGTAAAATATGAAACGACGAATCAAAGGCAAGCTGAATTACAAAAGAATAAGAAACTGGACAATAGGCGACACAAAAGTGCAGAGTGAGTGAAATAAAATACATAGACATTAAAATAGTCGCATGCCGTCTCGGAAATTGCAAACGTCTGAGAGGTGGCCTAATGCCAATGCCAACACCGGATACGGATGTGTGACACATGGCTCTAAGCCCCTAGCCAGCCAATGCTCACCTCATCGCGGCCAAGCACCCAGCAGGCACACACTCACACGTATAAATATATAAACGCATAGAATGTCGTTTCATTGTCGTTTGCGTTAAGTAGGCGACTTTATTAAGCCGAGGACACTGTAGCCAAAAAGTGTGCAACGCGCAATACGACAGCAGCGGCAACGACAACAAAAAGGGGGCAAACAATTTCAAAATTTATGCACACAAAAGCCAGAGGCCAATTGAAGCAAGCGGGGAGGGAGGTTGGACAGGACACCTTGGCAGGCCCCAGCTGGGCGCGTGTAAGGTGTTGCGGCCTTGCGCTAACTGCGACAAGAACTTTAGGCAGCGAGGAGGCAGCTCAAGTTCGTGCGGCATGGCCGCAATTTGTTGCTTTTTGATATTTATTTTGACGGTGAAATAAAAAGCGACTCATAAATCAGACGCCCTGCGACTTGTGACGCGCGCTTCGCGCTCCCAGTGCAACAATAGCCGCAGCGGAAACGGAATTGCGCGCGCCCCAAACAACAAAACAAAATGGCGTTAAAGATGGCAGCCAGGTGCTGAGCAAGACTTGAGCTTGTTATTTATGATAAAGCTTAAGCGTTGCATCTGCCTGCGGCGCTTGAATTATTTTTCAACCTGGCACAAATCTACCTTAATACCTACTCAGTATCAATAATAGACCTTTAGTAACAATATTGAGGCGAGCTTTGGGTTAAAAATTATAATAGGCGCTTGAGAGAAGGTTGTCAAGGTTGTGAGTGCACGGAAATTTCACTGGGTTATGAGTTAGGAATTTCTAACTTCAACTTCAACCTCAACTCAGGAGAGTTGAGCTATGAAAATATATGTTTGTTTCCTATGTGTAGTATAAGATTCGATACTAATTTATGTATATTCTTTTCAGCCATCCAAATCTAAATTAATATCATTAATTACCTAACTGTTCATTAATTGAATAAATTAAATATGTA